TTTTTCATTGGCAAACAGATGATATTGACTTAAACATGTTAAATAATCATTTAAATTTGAATTTATTGTATCTATGTCTTTATTAAAAAGGCCATTAATAAAATTATTTATATAGTTATCATCCTTTATTTTATTTTTTAAACTCTCTTTCAATTTTGCTATAAAACAATTAAAAATTTCATTATTAGGAATTTTAATATAATACATATTATTATCGAGGTGCTTATTCGATTGATTATTTTTATATTTTTTAATTAAATCTTCATTTACATCATTTTCATTTAATTTGGATTCACCTAGTAATAATTTAATTATTTGATCATCCATTTCTTTTATATTTTGTTTATATCCCTCTTTATCGGATAGAGTGATATATCCAGAATGTAATAAAACCGTCCATACTTCATCTTTTAAATAATTTTTTTTTAACGTTAATATTTTTTTTATTTCTACAATAATTACATTACCATACAATAGACTTAGGAAATCTTTTTTAAAGGAAAATTCATTTTTTTTAATAATTTTATTTAGAACGGTATCACTCTCAGAATTAAACCAATAATTTTTAAATAAACGATCGTCTTTCTTATTTTTATTATTACTAATAAATTTCATTATTGAATATGGATTATACAAATTCTTAATAATACGATTACCATAACCACAAGAATAGCCATCATAATCTTTTTTAATTTTATTTTCTTCTTCTGAAGGAATTTCAAAATGGGATAAAATTTTTTTTAACTCGCTTTCTGTAAATCCATAACAATCATAAAATAAATGATCAGAAAGAAGGGTATGTTCATGGATATTATTAAGTCCTGAATAAAAGGTTTTTAATTCTAAACCTAAGCATCCTGTAATTATTCCGAAATATAAATATTTATTTCCTTTAAAATATTTGAAAATAAAGATCTAACAATACCAATAAACGTTTCATAATATCCATTTTCAAAAGAATTAATAATAATCTTATCATATTCATCATTTAAAACAATACATTTTCTTTTGTAAAATTTTTTTTCGATTAAACATTGACATAAAAAATGAATAGATTCGTTTAATTTATTCATATCTTCTTCTTCATTTTCTATTTTATTCCATAATTTTTGGTCTGACGTATCTAATTTTTTAAAATCAATCTTTTTTCGTTGATATTTAAATTGAGAAGATATTTTAGATTTAAGATACATGATAGCTGATTCATAAGTTTTTGATTGGTTATCTTTAAAATTTAAATATATTACGGGATATTTGTGACATTCTCTCATATTTTTTCTATCTTTTGAAACTTCTAATCCATCAAATACGTCATTTCCTTTACTATCTCCTTTAGTACGTTTTTCAAAGAATTTTTGAATCATTTTTAAATTTAAACTTTTTCCAAATCTTTTTGGCCGTGTTATTAAATATACAGCATTTCCTTTTTCAATTAATTTATTTATCATTCTAGTTTTATCAATAAAATAATATCCTTTTTCATACAAGTCATCATAATTTTCACCACAATATACTTTAGTTGCCATTTCTTTTCTTTTGAATTTATTTCCATAATTTATTTCGTAAATCACTTCACATTTATTTCCACAAACAGATATCCCAAATTTAATGATCTTATTGTATATATTTTTTAATTCAAGACCATTAAATAGAAATTTCTCATTGTCATCCAATGCTTGAATACAACCTTCTTCAAATTCACATTCTTTATGCACAATGTTTATAGTAATGTAAAATATTTCAGATAAATATGGACTAAATTGATCATTTTTTTTATTACTTTCATTAGAATTATTGGAATTAGAATTATTATTATTTTCATAATTATTATTCAACCTATCTAAATAATCTTTATGGACATATAATAATTCACGAATATTATTTCTTTCACTATAATTATTTTTAGTAACAATTACATATTGATTATTCAAACTTAAAAGTGAGTAAATTAGAGCGTACCAGTTGTTTAAGTCTTCATTTGGGGAATAATTTTCTTTGTTTATTGAATTTTCAAGGAATTCTTGGATTTTTTCTTCATCATAATTTTTTATAAATAAATCAATAATTTCACTATATTTAAAATTATTATATAAATTATCTTTCCAATTAGAAAATTTTATTTTAATAAATTCTTTAATTTCTTTATTTTTTATTTTTAATTTATTATTATCAATAATTAGATAACCAAATTTAATAAATAAAGTCCAAATGATATCTCGGTTGTTATTTATATATTCTTTTTTTAACATTTCAAATTCTAATAATTTGGGAATTGACTTTTCAATAAAACCATTTTGTAAAAGGTAATCCATATCTTTAATCATAATATAATCAAAATCATTGTTAAATATTATTTCAAGAAATTTATTTTTTTGTGATAAAAAAAAATTATCATTATCATTATCATTATTTTTTGATTCTATCAATTTTTGTGAAGAAAGAAATTTTTTAATAGAATTTATTATACAAAATAAATCATAATATTTAACTATGTTATTATTATTATTATTATTATTATTATTATTATTATTATTATTATAATTTTTATTATTATTATTATTATTATTATTATTATTATTATTATTATTATTATTATAAGACAATAATGGTGAAATAATAATATTTACTTTATTTGCATGATTGTTATAGGTTGGATTTATAGATGAATTATCCCTTGTATTAATATTACAATAGTTCTCAAATTTTTCACTTTTATTTTCAAGTTTGAATTCAAACAAAAGTTTTTGCAATTCTAAATCTGTTACACTAAAATATTTATTATATTTATTGTTAGCTAAAAGGTAATTAAATGAATCAAAAGGCTTAAAAAATTGTACATCAATTTTACCAGTAATGAATGATTTAAATATATATCTTTTTTTTTGAAAAATATTTGATAATAATTCCTGATTAAAAGAATATAAATCATTAAAAAAAGGAGTATTTAATGAATCTAGAATAAGTGAATCATAATTGTCTATTAATAATATAATTTTCTTTTTGAATGTATTATACAACCAATTACATAAAATACCAATTGAAACTTTTAAATCATAAATATTTGCTTTACAATTTTTAAAATTTTTTATCATTTCTTTTTCATAGTCGGATAAATTTTCATTTTTAATGTTCCCGTAATAGCTATACAATTTTTGGACAAAACGTTTAAAATTTTCAATTGTTTCATCAAAGCTTTTTTTTAAATAAATATCATCAAAATTAATATAAACTACTGGAAATTTTCCTTGATAAAGATCAATATAACTTTCACCATCTTTAGTTTCTTTAGCTATGTTTAAATTTTCAAAAAATTTTTTGTTTTCATTGTTATTTTCGTCTTTGTAATTCATTTCAAAAAAATAACGCAACATATTTAGATTAACAGTCTTTCCATATCCAGAGGGTGTGATAACACGTATTATTGAAGATTTGTCCTCTATAAAATCCTTAATTAGCAATGTTTTATCTATATAAAAATTAGAACATAAAAATTTTTTTATTAACTCGTTTTCATCAATTATCTTTCTCTTTTTTTCATTATTTTCTGATATAAAATCATTTTCATTTTCATTTGATCGTTTCATTTTTTCCTTTTTTGTTACTCAATACTTTATTATTATTATTATTATTATTATCTAGTATTTAAATAAAAACACTTCCGTCGGTATATATTATTATTATTATTATTTTTCATTTATAATTAATTAAAACGTAATTTAAAAAAAAAAAAAAAATTAAATTTATTTTTTTCTTTCAAAGAATTTAAAACTTAAAATATATTAAACAATTATTAATAATAAAATATTTTTAAAAAAAAATTGAATGGTAATAATATTAATTAATTAATTAATTAATTATTTATTTATTTATTTATTTATTTATTTATTTATTTATTTATTTATTTATTTATTTATTTTAAATTGATATAAAATAAAATAATTTTTTAAAAACTATTAATATCATTTAATATTTATTATTAATCAATTCAGATTTTGATATTTTTGTTTGGAGGAGAATGGAATAAAAAATTTTTATTATATAATAATAATATATTTAAAAATAAAAATAAAAATATTAATATTGATGATAATAAACATTTTAATAAAAATACTAAAAATTCAAAGTTATAGATATTTTATATTAATAATAATAATAAAAAATATAGAATTATAGATACTACTTTAATCACTTTTTTTAATAAAAATATATAGAGAAAAAAAAATATATTTATAAAAAATTTTTTTTTTATTATAGAAAATATAGTAAGGTAATATTAAGTAAAGAATAATATAATGGATTCTTAAAAGTTTAAGTTGAAAATTCTAGATTAATCATCCATTATATATTCGTTCTTTACCAAAAAAAAAAAAAAAAAAAAAAAGAAAGATTATTTATTTAAAAAAAAAAAATTTTTTTTTTGTTTTAACAATGGCTTTGCTTTTGCGTGGGCCTAATCGGATAATAGGATAAAGGGGACACGGCGGTCAGACTTTTCTAATCTTTGAAGATTGCTGGGTGGTTTTAAGTCCCCGCTGCCGCCGCCGTTGAGTATTTTCTAATTTTTTTTTTCTTATAATTTTTTTTTTTTTAATAATTTAAATTTATAATCATTTCTAATAATAATAATAATAAAAAAAAAAAAAAAAAAAAAAAAAAAAAAAAAATAAATTATTTAAAAAAAAAAAAAAAAGATTATTTATTTAAAAAAAAATTTTTTTCTTATTTGTTTTAACCAAAAAAAAAAAAAAATTTATTTAAAAAATATTTTTTTTTATTTGTTTTAACCAAAAAAAAAAAAAAAAAAGATTGTCTATTTAAAAAAAAATTTTTTTTTTTATTTGTTTTAATCAAAAAAAATGATACTTATTTATTTAAAAAAATAAAATAAATTTATCTTTTTCTTTTTTTATTTTTATTTTATTTTAAATAATTTCATATACATAGGTTTCAATTAATTTCTTATGGATACTAAAAAAAACAAATCAAAATAAAATATACAATGCCTATTGACGGAATCGAACCACCGACCTTCGCTTTACAAGAGCGACGCTCTACCACTAAGCCAATGTTAAGGAATGAACAAATAATGTAAGAAATAATAATTATTTATTAATAAATAATTACTATTTCTTAGTCTTTATGTTAAAAAGTAAACAGGTTGAATTTAACGAGGAATCAGGTTGATATATCTATATAATATAACTATATAGATATAAGTAAATTACTAAAATAAAAGAGTTATAAAGTTAAATTTGTTAATTTAACACTTAATTAAAACTAATAATTGGTTTGATATAATAAAAATTCTTATTTATTAATAAAAATATATAGTTATATTATAATAGGTTAACTATAACCTTACAAAGGACAAAAAGATAAATTTGAATTTTCTTTTTATACTTTGTAGGTTTGAGAATATTGATAATAATAATATAAAGTTGATAATAATAATATTTAGTATAAGAATATGTTTAATATAAATAAATTATATTTTTTAATCTAATATATTAGCTAATATATATAATATAATATTAAATTTAAATATTTAATATAGTAATTAATAATTAATAATTAATTAAATCAATATAACATAAATTAATACATAAACATTAATTTATGAATCAAGGATGACATGACCAAATGATTCATGTTAATAAATATTTTATTTATTAATAATATTTAAGTTTAATATGATATCATTAGAATCAGTAGGCCTAAGCTGGTCCTAAGATGATCAAATAACTTATAATATTATAAAATAAATAAAATTTAAAGAATAATTAATGAATTATAAATTTTTATTAATTATTTTGTTTTTAATAATTTTAATTGAAATTAATTGAAATTGAAATTTAATTCAGTTGTAATTTCGACAACGCCCTTCCACAAAAATCGGATTCCAGACGATTTTGTGTAACGTTACATAAAGAAATTATTATATTTATAAAATTGTATATTTTAAAAATTTTTTTTTTTTTTTTTTTTTTTTTTTTTGAAGTAAAAAGGTCACATGAGTCCTTTAAAGAACACATTACAAGTGGCCATTTCATGGAAATTTCGAAATTGTCAAAATTTACTGAAATTAAAATTTTGTTATAAAATTAAATATCGAGAAATATAATGGTGTGAATTTTATTAAAAATTTCGTTGAAAAAATGTAAAATTGAAATTTTGAAATTGAAATTGAAATTTCATCTTAATTTTATGCATTAAATTGAAAATTTTTAAATATAGTGAAAATTTATAATTTAATGAATATAATAATGTAAAAATAAATAAAGTATTATTAAATTTCGATTTTTTAAAAATTTTTGAAATTTTGAAATGTAAAATTTTAAATTAACTAATTTAATTTTGAAATATTATTATTTAATATACTATTTATAGCTTAAGTATAATAATTTTTTTTTTTTTTTTTTTTTTTTTTTTTTTTTTTTTTTTTTAATTATAAGAAAGAGAAGTGAATTTTCTATTATTCTTTAAATATTCTTGATATATTCTTTGATTCCTTGGATTATTTTCAACTTCATAAGAAGGCACCCAATTACTTGAACTTTTATATTTGTATCTAACTCTATATTCGTAGCAGTTTTTCTTGTAGTTTGTCCTAAATCCAGAAATTTCAATAATATCATTAATGGATTCATTGTGCGAACTTCTATTTAAAAACTTTTGCGGAGTTGGGACATAAGGTTCCAATTCAGAGATATGAAAGATTGGATGATGTTTTGGAAAAGGTGACTTTTTAAGATCAATTTTATAATTATTATTCTCTAAAACATCGATTACCTTGTAAGGTCCATATTTGCAAGGAGCGAGTTTAGAACAATCTTCAATATTTAAGGAAGGAGGTGCTTGAATCCAAACCAAGTCACCTTCTTTTATTACAGGAGGTGGCATCCTTTTCTTATCCGCATAATTTTTATATAATTCTTTAGATCTTAATAAGACATCTTTAATATGATTAAAACTTGTACTTACATTTTTAATAAATTTACTATTAGTATCAACTTGGGGTAGTAAGAAATATTCGTCCATAGATGGATGAAATCCATAGTTAATAAAGAAAGGTGTTTCTTTTGTAGATTCATTGACTGAATTATTATAAGCGAACTCTGCAAGATAGATCCAATTAATCCAATCGTCGTGATAATAAGATCTTGAATAAGCTCTTAAATACTGTTCAATAAAGGAGTTACATCTCTCAACTTGACCAACAGTCTCATGATGATCTGTTGTAGCTAATTTGGATTTAATATTAAGTAATTTCATGAATTCTTTCCAAAGTGCACTTGTAAACTGAGGACCTCTATCTGTATACATATCATAAGGAAGGCCATGTAATTTATAAACATTATTCATAAATGCTTTGGCAGTTTGTTTTGCATCAGGAATTTGTTTGAAAGGTATTAAGTGAATCATTTTAGAGAAACGATCCACTACAACCATTATTACCGTATATCCCTTTGAATCCGGGAGGCCACATAAAAAGTCAACTTCTATAGATTTCCAAGGTCTATCAGGTGTTTCCAACGGTTGTAGAAAGCCATATTTCCTATGTCTATTAATTTTGTTTCTTGCACAACATTCACAGGAATTGACAAATTTTATAACATCATCTTGCATTTTGGGCCACCAAAAGTTTCTTGTAATTAATTCAAGAGTTCTTTTAATTCCAAGATGACCAGCGGAAGGCTTTTCATGATATTTAGTTAAGATTTCTAATCTTAAAATTTCAGGAATATAAATTAAATTATTATATAATATAATATTATCCTTTATTTTGAACTTATTCATTTTCCTAAAGGGTTTATAGGACATATCATTTTTAATATTCTGTGGGCTAAAATAGAGTCTAATATCATCAGCTGTGGCATCTGTTTTTGTAGCTTCTATAATTCTTTCTAAAAGATCGCTAACAACACCAATAAAACATGGAACTTCCTTTACATTTTTTATGTCAAGAATATTTTCGGTTTTAGTTTCTTCATTATTTTTTATATAATCTGGTCTTCTTGAAAGAGAATCAGGTTTTCCATTATTGGAACCTTGTCTATAAATTAATTCAAAATTATATTCTTGGAAGAACATATGCCATCTATGTTGCCTTTGATTACCAATTTTACCACCAAGGGTATATAATAAGTTCCTATGATCAGTATAAACAGTTACTTTGTATTTCGCACCAAGTAATAAATGTCTCCATGCCAAAAAGGCTTCTCTAATAGCTAACAACTCCTTGTCTGTAATAGTATAATTAATTTCTGCACCTTGTAAGCTTCTTGAGAAATATGCAACTGGATGTAATTTATTATTATCATCCTTTTGTGATAAAACAGCACCAAGGGCAAAGTTACTTGCATCACATTCAACAATAAATGGTTTATTATTATCCGGATGGAATAAAACTGGAGAACTGGTTAATCTTTTCTTTAATTCTGAGAATGATTCTTCACATTTGTTATTCCAATTAAATTTAATATTTTTTCTGGTTAAATTATGTAAAGGTTTTGCAATTTTTGCAAAATCTTTAACAAATCTTCTATAATAATTGCAAAGACCTAAAAACCTCTGTACGTCCTTTAAGTTATTTGGTTGAGGCCAGTCTTTAATTGATTCTATTTTCTTCGGATCGGTAGTGACACCTTGACCTGATAATACATATCCAAGGAATTCAACTTTCTCTTTATCAAATTCGCATTTTTCTAATTTTGCATATAAGTTATTATTAATTAATGCTTGCAAAACCTCCCTAACTTGTTTATGATGTTCTTTTAAATCTTTGGAGTAGATTAAAATATCGTCTAAATAAAGAATAACACTTTTTTCTAAATATGGTCTTAGTACCGAATTAATAAACGATTGAAAAGTAGCTGGTGCGTTTTTTAAACCAAATGGCATAACTAAGTATTCATAGTGACCATATTTAGTTCTGAAAGCTGTCTTGTATTCATCCCCTTCCTTAATACGGATTAAATTATAGGCTGAACGTAAATCTAATTTTGTAAAATACTTTGCTCCTTTAACCTTTTCAATAATTTCATTAATAAGAGGTATGGGGTACGAGTTTCTTATAGTAACAGCGTTTAACTTCCTATAGTCTACGCATAACCGAAGTGTACCATCTTTTTTCTTTTGGAATAGAACTGGATAACCTGCAGGTGATTCAGATGGTCTAATAAATCCTTTTTTTAGGTTTTCTTTTATATATTCTTTCAAAACTTTATTTTCCTCTTCGGTTAAGGGATAGATTGGACCATAGTGAAGGGAAGCGTCCTTCTCCAGCACTATTTTGCAGTCGGTTAAACGATGTGGGGGAAGTTTATCGGCTTCGGCTTTACTAAAAACAATAAATAGATCGCGATATTGAGGCGGAATATCTTCAATATTTGGATCTTCATTGTCATTTTTATTAATTTCTTTATTCGATAAGAAGGAATATATTAAAAAATTGTAATTATAGTCATTGTTTAAATTAAAATTGTTTTTTAAGTATTTATTTTGTTTTTTGAAATAATATTTATATTTATTAATAAAATAATGATTTTTATTAAAAAATTTTTTATAATTAAATTTATCACAAAATTTTGAAAATTTATTAAGGTTAAGGTTATTAAGTTTTTTATTAAAAAATTTTTTATTATAATTAAACTTCTGATCAAATTTTTTTAAATTTTTTGAAAAATTTTTATAATTAAATTTTTTTATTGATTTATTAAAAAGTAAATAATTTTTTAAAATTTTATTTTTCATCGACTGTAGATATAAATTGTTTTTGCAATATTTATTAGGATTTTTGTTATTTTTATTTGAAAAATAATAATTTAAGTAAGAATATAATATATTCTTATCATAATTATAGTGAATTTTGAATTTTCGCATGAATTGATTACCAAAAAGTAGATCAGTTGGTATGCAATTTGTTATTAGAAATTTTTCATTGTAATTTTTAAAATAAAATTTTTTATTCTTTTGTATTTTTATTTGAAATTTTAGCCAAACGTACTGATCTATCTTAGTAGTAGAACCAGATATACCTTTGACTGAAATTTTATTTTTTAAATTATAAATTTT